ACCCTCAAACCTGACAAAGAAGGGGAAACCAATCTGGTAAGGCAATGGCGCCAGTTGGTGTGGGGGGCCCGGCAGAGGGGGTTTGTTTTGACGCGCCATAAGTGCCTACATACTACTGTCCATAGATAAAAAAAGAAAAGGAAGTGATGGAAAAATGAATCGTAAAAAATTTATAAAATGTAGAAAGCTTTTTTTCGAGCTATCTCAACGGCAGCAATCTCGTCTTATGGCCGATCTCAACGTAGTATATAAAGATAAAACTAAAAGTGAAATAGAGAGTGATGTTGAAGTTATTTCCAAGTCATCAAATTCAATCCATGATGAAAATGATGTTAATGACACAATTTCTGAAGTGTTAGATGTTTTTTGGTAATATAAAAATAACTGGCTCTGAAAGCAGTGTTGATAATTTTAACGAAAACGAAGAAGAAGATGTAGAGTTTAGCGATAATTTTGAAAATTTTCAATCCATGCTTGCTACTGTTTTTTTTATCTACGAATATGACTTGTGTGCAAGAAAAAGTAGTTTTAAAAGTTATTATATCTCACAGCTGGTTTTCTAATTTAAACATTGATGTAAGATCTCCTCTTAAACTTCCTCGAACACGCTGTGAGCTTCAACAAATATCAGGAAGCGAATATCTGCATTTGGGCTGTGACCGAGGTTAGGCCGAAGATTGATCGGTACTTACTGGTATACGTCGTTATTTGTGGTCGCCAGGTATTTTTGCTATTATGCCTCGTCAAATACCAAGGGATGTCCATTCTCGATGTTGTATCCTGGACTACAATCCTTCGGGAAAGGTTTAAACACTTCAACAACACTTTGTCGTTCGGAATAATAAATCGCTTTATTCTTTATATTTCCCCCCGAATGGGTTCCCACCTTGTAGTAGCTCCGAGGCGGGGGCTCGGGGCTCGAGGAGCGCTCGGTGTTCACGTGGTCTGACTGCCTCGCAGTACCTACACGGAATGTTTATTTTGTTCCCAGCGTGTGCTGGTGATGGTGTGGCCGGGCATTGATCGCCAGCTTGTGCTGGCGAATCTGTCTGGTCATATCGCCACAATAGAAGTGTAATTTGACGGGACAACTATGGACCACAGAAAGTGAGCATCCGGTGTCCTCGGGGGCTTTGGGCTCTCGCGCCGGAGCGGGTAGCGGGGCTTAAGGTCGCGGGCAGTGGTCACCCGCTCAGGGGTGGGCCCGTCTGCGACCAACTAAGAGGAACCCCCCAAGTTAAGGTGTGAGCGACCGTGCCGAGAGCTGCGTAGCGCAAGGGGAGTTGCGTCGTAAACGGTGCCTCCTGGATACCGGGCGAAATCCAGGAGTATGGAGCCAAGCCCCAGCCATTCGCGGCTTTGGCTGGGTGAGACCGCGCGACCGCAATACTCGTGGGAATATATATGGATGTTGAAAACAAAAATAAAATCACCCCCAAATCAGTCCCCAAGAGCGAAGCCTCCTTTGGGGATAAACGCCCAGGGGAATCTTGCAGTGCGGGAACGGGTTCAGAAGCCCCAAAATACCGCATAAGATATAGCGGAGCCGCTAGGCGCCGTTATAATAAACAAATGCAAAACGGGGAGAGTGGAGCCGATAAGGTCCTCTCTATCCCCGCAACCTTTTGCTCAAAAGGTGGGGCTGAGGGTGGGCGGGCTTCGGGTGGCGCGGCAAAGCGAGCCAGGCCGGAGCACGCTACTCCCAGCCCCTAAGAACATTGCCAGAACAAGAGACCCAAAAATTGAAGGGTCGTATGCACAGGCGACAAAAGGTTTTGTCAGGATGGCCATCGTACTGGTGGGCTACCATGACAAGAAAATGGGAGCCGGTGAGGTAGTTGAGAAATCAGAAAAATGGTCAGGTCTGTCATCCTCGGCATGTCTAAGAATGACAAAGCCTCCACTTTTACTGGTTCCTGGGAGAGGGATGGCGCACTCATGGTTGTGTGCGCCAACATAGAGTCGGCGGAGTGGCTTAAGGCCCATTCCTCCGATTTAAAAGTCAGGGAAACTCCTCTGTGTGCGCTGCCGGTTGGTAAGCTACCTAAGCGTCATCGGGTGGTGGTGCATGTGGAGGAGCCTGAAGTAAGGGTTGAGGATGCTTTAAAGCTCCTTAATCAGCAAAACAGGCTGGCAACTAGCGATTGGGTTGTCACCAGGGGGACGTATAGGAGAGATGCTACGAGCGCCCACTTCTCCTGTTTAGTTGGCAACTCGGCGATGGAAGCCTTGAAGCATTGTGGCTTCAGGCCTTTCTTCGGTCTCGGCCGGGTCCGTTAGGATAGCGGGACGAAAGCGCGAGGAGGCAACGGAGAAGGAGATGGAGTCGGAGGGTGTCGGAACTGCCTAAAAATGGCTTCTCTCGGCATCCAAATAATCCAGATTAACTTGCATTACAACAAGAGCGCCTCGGCTATCCTAGCCAGAAGCATGGCTGTGATGCATACAAGTATTGCACTAATCCAAGAACCATGGATTGTGAATGGTGCAGTAAAGGGACTGAGTGGGTGCGGCTGCTTATACAGAGCACACTCAGAAAATAGAGTAAGATCATGCATTTTAGTATAAGGACTAAATGCTATCTTTCTGCCACAGCTCAGCAGCGAGGACCTCACAGTCATCAAGGTGAGAGTGAAGCTAGCCGAAAAAGATGACAGAAGTATTAATAGGGTCAGTTTATATGCCCTATGACTCCACAAATCCACCACCACATGAAGAGGTAAAAAACTTGCTGGCCTATGCGGAAGCCAGGGAGCTCAAACTCCTGCTGGGTTGCGATGCGAACTCCACCATGTAGGATGGAGAAGCACAAATACCAACCTGCGGGGGGAGAGTCTCCACGACTACTTAATGGGCACAGGATTAACCATTCTCAACAGAGGAAACGAGCCGACATTCCCGGACTCTAAAAGACAGGAAGTCATCGATATAACGGTTTGTACGGAGAGGGTGGCGGGTCTGGTGAACGACTGGAGAATCTCGGATAAACCCTCTGGCTCTAATCACAGACAAATACGCCTAACTCTCCAACAAATACCGCAAATCAGCTGGGTTTGCAACCCACAAAAAACCAACTGGGAGGGATTTAGAGCTGACCTTAAGGCCCAGTTTGCTATGGCCCCAACCAGTTTCAGAACCAAAAACAACTTGGAAAACGTGACGGATTTTCTAAAAACCGCCACTACAAACGCCTTTAAATTAAACTGCTCATCAAAACCTAGGAATCCGGTGAACAAGATCCACTGGTAAAATAAAGAACTCGGTAAGCTCAGATTGGAAACGAGTAAGAAATTCAACAAGGCGAAAAGAACAGGGCTTGCAGTACACTGGGAGGCCTTTAGAAGCTCCCAACGAGAGTATAGCAAAAAGAGTAAGAAATTAAAGTGCAAAAGCTGGAGACGTTTTTGTGAAAGCATTGAGAGCGCCCCGGAGGCATCCAGGCTTCACAGAATTCTCAGTTTGGATCATCGTCCTCAATTAGGCTGTCTCAAGCTCCCAACGGGGAATGTCACTGAGGAGGCAACGAACACATTGAAACATTTACTGGAAGTCCACTTCCCAGGTTTTGATCATAACATACAGCCCTGCCGACCGAAGCCTAGAGAATATAAATCCAGGGACTGGCGTCTGGCAGCTGGAGTTGTTTTTCCAAAGGGAGTTGAAACCTTCTCTCCATATAAATCACCTAGACCGGATGGAATCTACCCGGTCCTTTTTCAAGAGGGGCTGGGGGTTCTCATAGGTCCACTCACAAAAATCTTTAGGGCAAGTATAGCCCTAAGACATGTTCCTCAGGCCTGGAGTAGTACAAGAGTAGTCTTCATCCCTAAGTCTGGCAGAAATGGATATATTTCAGCCAAGAATTTCAGACCAATCAGCCTTACCTCCTTCGTACTTAAGACGTTGGAAAAGCTGATCGACGGAATCTTGAAGAACGGACCTTTGCTTACATATTCACTGGCTTCTTCCCAATATGCTTACAGGGAGGGCAGATCTACGGATACTGCCTTGCACCACCTTGTAAGCGGGGTCGAGAGGCAAGTGGAGGCAAAAGGATATGCACTGGGCGTCTTCCCAGTATATTGAGGGAGCTTTTGATAGCACCTCATATGATGTAATCGGGGAGGCGATGACCAGACACAACATTCCAGCCACACTAGCAGACTGGACACAAAGCATGCTAACAGGAAGAACCCTGATTGCTAATCATGGGGACTCAAACGTGCATGGTTTTCTCGCCAAAAGATGCCCGCAAGGGGAAATTTCATCCCCCCTGCTGTGGTGCTTGGTCGTAAACAAACTTTTATATAAATTACAGAAGACAGGTTTCCTCGCCTTTGGCTACGCTGATGATGTGGCCATTTAAGTGCGGGGCAACTTTCTTTCAATATTTAAGAAAATTATAAGAACAGCCCTTAAGATCACGCAAGACTGGTGTCAATCAAAAGGACTTAGGGCTAATCCATTAAAGACCAAGGCCATGATTTTTACCAGGAAATACAAACCTGAAGCCATTGAGCCGCTTAGACTCTGGCGAGAAGATATAGAATACGTCCAATCAGTCAAATATTTGGGAGTTTACTTAGACACCAAACTGAATTGGAAAACACATCTCGATATAAATAGATCCAAATTCTACGCCTCATACTAGGCGTGTAGAAAAGCAATGGGAAAATCCTGGGGTATTAAACTAAATAGTGCCCTATGGATATACAAAGCGGTACTTGTACCGAGGTTAACATATGCTGCTGTTGTTTGGTGGCCCAGAGTGGAAAAGATGGAGTCAAAGAACCTACTAAAAAGCCTACAAGGTAATTACTTGAAGGCTGCGGTAGGGACTATGAGAACGACACCAACAGAAGCGCTGAAAGTGGCGCTCTGCATTCCACCTCTAAGATTGACTGTCATCAGCGCTGCCAAACTCACAGCATATAGACTAAGGTGTCAGGGGGAGTGGAGAGATTTCGGAGTAGGTCATACCAGGCTCGAGTTTCTTTACAAACCTCTCTTTACCTTAAAACAAGACAGAATATTCAGAATACGCCAAGTGGACAAGGCGTTCTCCATAAACTTGACCATCAGAGTGGGCTGGAAAAACAAAAATCTTCAGATCCAGCCGGGCACTCATGCATGGTTTACTGATGGATCTGGAGCAAACGGCTGCTATGGAGCAGGCATCTACTGTCCAGGATCAAATCACAGAGAGTTTTTCTCTCTGGGCAAATTGGCCACGGTCTTTCAAGCGGAAGTCCTGGCCATTCTGGAATGTGCAAGACTCCTACTCTCAAGAGAGACAAAAACTAGGAGGATCAATATCTATACGGATAGCAAAGCAGCCATAGGAGCTCTTGCCAAGACCACCACTGAATCTTCAGTGGTTTGGGACTGTATGCAAGCTCTAAACAGATTGGGCGAGCGAAACAACATCACGCTTGTCTGGGTACCTGGCCACCAAGATATCCAAGGCAATGAAGTGGCTGATAGTCTGGCAAAACTGGGTACTTTAGAGAAACCAGTCTGCCAGATAGTTGGAGTTCCCTTTGCAACAGGAAAAAATTATATCAAGGACTGGTTGAAAAGGGAGCGCAGGATTTCTTAGGAGATACTGAAGAGCTGCCGCCAAGCTAAGGCCCTGATGACTCAGCCATTGCCAGGTAGGACAAAGGAACTACTGACATTGAGTAAGTACAGACAAAGACTGTGTATCGGTCTTCTCACAGGGCATTGGGCCTTCAAGGCACATCTATTCAACTTAGGCCTAGTTGAGGAGAGTAGTTGTAGATTTTGTGGCGAAGAGAGGGAGGACAGCGTGCACATATTGTGTCGCTGCCCGTCTCTAGCACTCAAGAGATTCAGATTTTTGGGCTCCATGTTTGTGGAGCCCGAGAACCTGAAAATAATTAAAATCGGCCATCTGTGTAGCCTGGCAGCAAATGCCGGATTTTAGCAGCTTGGTCGATAAACAACTAGCGGGAGTCGCAGAGGATCTTATAGATCTAGGTGACAATAGGGTCTCACAAGCCCTCCGCTTCTCGGTATCTATCTATCTATCTATTCTTCATATTCAGGATCCGCGCACTTCGCGCTTTGTACTTTTATAATTACGCAAAATAACTGAGTTGCTTGTGTTACAAGGCATGTACCGGTGTGTCTCTGACGAATGCCCGAGCAAGACTGTTGTGTATTGGTATTGGTGCATATTGGCTCAGAGGACTGTAAGGTTAGTCCATACGCCATTCTAGGAGTTTTTTTTNAAAGTTGATAAGTCAAGTATACCCCAGATATCTGGGGTCTGTATTAATTAATTATTATTAGTTATATTTTGTCCCAAAGAGAGTTGTGCAGTATACTACTACCACGTGATACACGACCTTCTTTCACAGTTGGCGTGCCCATCTGTGTTGGGCTCGTGTTCAAGATATTGTGACTATGATCGCTTTGTGGGAGGGGAATTAATTCGGAATTACATCCGAATTAATTTTTGGATGTCCGATTTTTTTGTCAATCAACCGATAAACTCGGTTGGAAGGGACCGGCCCAGAAAAAATCCTTAGGTAGTGAGCGGATTCAAACTCCGGGACCTCCAAGTTCGCAGCCCCTGCACTCAGGCTACGAGACCACTGGGCCGGTCTCAAGACTGTTCCGCGCTGTTCTCGGACTTCTCGATTTGTGAGTGCAGCTAGTGCTGTACTAATCCCCGTTCAGTTTAGAAAAGAATCCTAGATTAAGGCTTCTTTCCACGTAAAACCTAAAATGTAACTTAACGCGTGCCGTTGCGTATGTGTATTAGCGGTGTAATTGTTCTGTAAATGGCACACGAACGAACGTTTATGTGTGTATGTGTGGGTAGTGTGTAAGAATGCGGTAGATATATGACTTAAGGTGTGAAACTGTGTGAGTATACTTAGTACAACTGTGGTGTGTGAATGTAGCGTGTTTGGACCCTTAAGCTTAAATGTGTGTGTACCTGAAGATGTCACCGGCCACCCAGGAGATGGACGACTTGGGACAACCACACAAAAGACCGACGACAGTACAACTGTTGGCGATATTGGACAGACAACCGGACCAGGAAGCGAAGCCGCAGAACACGGAAAGCGATGCGACATGAAGAAAAGCGCGCGGGAAAGCGTGTCTCGGTTAAAAAAAGGTCGCAGAGTATTATATATATCACATTTTTATATTTTATATCACATATTTTATGTTAAGCGTTATGGTTTTCATATTTGATTTTATTTTTGATTTGATTTGATTTTATGAAAGGTGTTGGACTTGATGAAAATCATTAATAATTTTATTTTAATTAATTTAGTTATTTACTTCTATTGTGTTAAGTTTACTTAAGTAACAAGTAAAGTTTAAGCTGCGGTCTTGTAATAAGAAAAGCGCTGAGTTAAAATTTTAGTTTAGTTTATTTTGATTTTGATCTTACTGGTCACTAAGGGCAAACACACAACACACACAAAAATATAAAACCAAACATGCATGTTGTTTAAGGACACATGCTTACTCCATTCACTCCAAAAACACTCGCTCGAAGTTTACACGAGTCATTGCGGACACGCATTACTATTCACACGCCAGCTAGGACATTTCCCTTAGACTTAAAAGTTCATACACACGAGTAAAGCTCATTTACACATCATACATTCGTACTCCACATGCGCACTTCATACATCCAGTCACACGACTTAATACACATGTTCGGCACACGCTCGAAACTATATTTTGAAACGGAAACTTATAATACCGGTAAGGGTAGTGAGACATACTACAGTGCTACCGAAAAAGACTTTAATAGAACAAATATAAAGATA